ATCTTTCTTCTATCATTGACAGTCCCTCTAGGTTGTGGGCTGCTTGCCTGTGTTCCTGAGAAGCATCTACGGTACCAGTCTATAGAGTGTGTTTTCTTTAGTGAATTACCGGTATGTTTACCGGTAATAAACTTGCACTGTTTTATGTATATGTTTGATTACATACAGCCTTGTGACAGTTTTCCTGCATGTCATAAGCATTTGAATATAAATTAAAATGTTAAAATCAAATCTGATATTGTTTTACCTTTTATTTGGTGTGTGGAAGAGGGGGTAGTCTTATACGGCGAGTATATAACAAACTCTGTATTTTGAGTGGAAATGTTAGGGGGTCGTCTTATACGCCCAGTCATCTTATACGCCGGCAAATACGGTAGGTCATCTTCTCTGGTCAACCCTGGTTCTGCAGTGCTTCCTTATTCCAAGTATTTATACCAATGAATAAGAGAATACCTACCTGGGCTTGTTGTGTGGTTGCCTGTGTGGAATCTTGTTCTTCGAGCTCTGGTACTGATTCATCACTGTCAGACTCTGTTCCAGACCCTAGGAGGCAAAATAATTTTTAGTAATCTTTAGTGGAGATTAAAAGGAGGCTTGTCACACCATGGCCTGCTTGGACTAGAGGTCACTGGCTTATTTTAAACCTCGTAAAGTTAAATGTAAATCAACTGACTTGTATAAAGTCAGCTTGATAGCCCCCTACTTAGTCACAAACTAGTGCGTATACATTCTTAAAGACCCAGCCCCAGAAATGAGAGGTAATTACTAGATGCAGCTGAACAGTTTATATGCTATAACTGCTTTATTTCCCTCAAGGCCTTCATTTCTTCGCATAGGCGAACACCAATGACCTATGTAACTCCAACCACTATCCAATAGCCAACCATCCCAGAAAGGCTCTGGCAGACAAGGTGTCTGCAGATACACGGAAGTGAAAAACACTTTCACATTGTGGCAGCAGATGAGGAAGGGAACTTTCCCCTTATCCTTTAAACTGCGTTTGGGGAGGCCAGAAGCAGTTATGTACACACATTTAGCCTTATTTTCAAGCCACTGACCCCAGCAATTTGATCTAATAAATAGTACTTATAAAGATTCTCTCAATGATGCCAACTTACAGTTCCAATAGTCACCTTTACTAGTTATCGTCCTGTGACCTCTCCCATTTCTTTCAAACATAATTCATGTATTTTAAGTTTTCCTCAATTGAAAGGCCAAGCACAATAGACTACTGAGGGAAAAAAGCATATACCTACACCATTCTCAGACTAGGAAAAATAGGTCTTTTAAACAAAGGAAGTCCCTGGGCACTGGTCCTTACTAATTCCAAGAAGTGAACAGAAATTCAAATACTCCCAATATTCAATAGTTTCCCAATATTTTAGCAAATCCCAGGCCCAGAGACAAAGGTTAGTGATGTGGTAGAAATTAGAGCAGATTAAGATCTAGAAGGTCTTTGGTTTTCAACATCACATCAGTTAGGTAAAATGATGGAAACTCAGGGTTAGTCTGGATCCCCATTACACAAGATGATACACAATGGACTATCTGAAATGATGAAAACCAAGATTGTTCTACATTCCTAGAGCTTTTGCACTTAAAATGATCATTCTAATTCTATTTTCAAACACAAGCAGATATTCTGGAGAAAGTGGCGCATCCTAGGGTTAGTAATGGTGGGTAGCCCCCAGGAGGAGTGTGGGCGACACACCATGCACACAGCAAACCAAGGCAAATACCCTTGTTGTTCTTCAGAACAGGTTGCTTGGCAGAGGGGGTTGGGGCAGGGATCCCAGCAGGTTTGGGGGTGGGCATGTTGACGAGGACCGGCTGGAAAGGCACTCCCCCCGAGATTGGTTCCGGGGGAATCAGAGGCGGCAGCTCATCCTCATCAGCGGGGGCTGAGGGCTTACAGGATGATTCCAGCACCAGCCCAGGTGAGGACGGCAGAGGTTGCTGTTTAGGAAGCAGAGGGGGAACTGGGGAGGGAGCAAGAGGCAGAGAGACTGTTGGGGTGGGTACTGGAGAGACAGGTGCTGATCCAGCTTTAGGAAGGACCTTCTCAGAAGCCGCTGTTGCTAGAGGCGTAGATGTCTCAGACTTTGGATGAGGAGCCAAGGGACCCTTTGGAGAAGGGCCTTTCTGAGCGGAGACTGCCAGTAGAGGGGTTGGAGGAGCCACTGTAGAAAGGGGTCCTTTAGTACCATTCTTGGCTGAGGGATCTGAGCACACAGGAGGTGAACTCTTCTTGGCTGGTGGACCTTTCTGAGTGGGAGCTATGATGACTGGTGCATTTTCTAAAGCTGGGCCAGTAAGTACTGCTTTGAGAGCTGTGGAGCCTTCCCTTACTGGGAGCCCTTTAGATGCCTGAGGGGCAGTGGATCCCAAGGGACATGTGACTGGAACTGGTAAAGCAGGGGACTCTTTGGAGGATGGGACTGCTGGGCCACCTATGGGGGCTGGGGCAGCTGAGGGCTCTTTGGGGGACGGAGTTTTAGCTGGGGTTCTTTTAGGAGATGGAGTTGCTGGGGCCCCTTTGGGGGCTGGAGTTTTCTTTGGGGATGAAGTTGTTGGGGTCCCTTTGGGGGCTGGGGCAGCTGAGGGCTCTTTGGGGGATGAAGTTGATGGGGTCCCTTTGGGGGCTGGGGTAGCCGAGAGCTCTTTGGGGGCTGGAGGAGTCACAGCTGAAGGAGTAGAAGCCACTTTGGGGCCTGGTGTAGCTGAGACCTCTTTGGGGGATGGAGTTTTAGCTGGGGTTCTTTTAGGAGATGGAGTTGCTGGGGCCACTTTGGGGGCTGGAGAAGCTGAGAGCTCTTTGGGAGTTGGTGTTGCTGGGACCCCTTTGGGGGTTGGGGTATCTGAGGGTTCTTTGTGAGATGGAGCTGCTGGGGCTCCTTTAGGGGCTGGGATTCTTTTGGGGGATGAAGTTGTTGGGGCCCCTTTGGGGGCTGGGGTATCTGAGGGCTCTTTGGGGGATAGAGTTGCTGGGGTATCTGAGGGCTCTTTGGGGGATGGAGCTGCTGGAGCCCCTTTGGGGGCTGGGGTTTTTTTTGGGGATGAAGTTACTGGAGCCCCTTTGGGAGCTGAGGTTCTTTTGGGGGATGAAGTTGCTGGGGCCCCTTTGGGGGCTGGGGTATCTGAGGGGGGGCTGGGGTATCTGAGGGCTCTTTGGGGGATAGAGTTGCTGGGGTATCTGAGGGCTCTTTGGGGGATGGAGCTGCTGGAGCCCCTTTGGGGGCTGGGGTTTTTTTTGGGGATGAAGTTACTGGAGCCCCTTTGGGAGCTGAGGTTCTTTTGGGGGATGAAGTTGCTGGGGCCCCTTTGGGGGCTGGGGTATCTGAGGGCTCTTTGGGGGCTGGAGCTG